TATTAAGCATCTGAGATTATGTTTGAAATATATTGGAATAATCAGCACTTGAGACACATTTATTTATACCAACAGGATCTGGTGATGATAATATCCTTGTAATTACACCACTTTGAGCATTCTCAGCAGAGACAATTTTTTTCTATCACAATCCTTTAAAATATTTATAGTTGTTGGTTTACCACTGTATCAGAGTATTTCCTTTCCCTTTAGCCTATCTAATACACTTTCCTACAGAATATTAAGTATCTGGCATTTGAGATTACTTGGTTAATAAAAAACAGTTTATGGCTAGCAGTTGACTCGATATAATATGTTGTAAACAAAGCAGCTGCTTTTTCCATCTGACTTACAGAATTTTTGGAGCTATGTGAGAGCTTCTAAGGCACAGACATCAGGACAGAAATTAATTACCATTTTACTGCAAAAGACTATGGGCAATCTTCTACCCCCTTGCTCCCAGACCCTATTTTCAGGGGATTGTGATTGGATAGAGTCCTTCTGCTGGATCTCTACGTAGGAATAAATTTTACTCTGGCAGAACTATTTTGAAGAAAATATTTTTACTTGGAAGATTAATGAACACCTTCTGCTGAATTACTTGTTCACCCCAAATTCCATCTCCTTGGTGTATAAGCACCATGTATTTGAAGGCAGTATCCCATGTAGGAACAGCTGTGGTAGTTAGTGAAGGTTTTCCTCAATCCAACAGCTGAAAACACACTTTTATCTGACTTCTTTAAAAGCTTCAATTTTGCTAGAGGTGCATCAGACGACTGAGGGCTTAGTTTTGGTGAGACTGATGAAATGACAAAGTGTGAGAAAGAGTATTTGTAATCCAGCACATGGAACATTGGTTTTTACGTGAAATCCTGGTTCATGTCTCGCCAAAACTGTATGTGTGCGCCTGCTTGTTTTAAAAATGGATTTTTACCATACAAATTATTTAATCAAAAACATACACTACATGATTAGTTTGACATTCTTATCTGTATTTGTTACTTCACAATTTGCATTTAAAAATAAGGTGAACTGTAAGAAATGGTATAAGTAAAGTCTTTGTGGGTTTCAGTGAGTTCACACCTTGATTTCTGATCAAAGAGAAAAATGGCCCTCCCCTGTACTAGTGTACAGTAATATAGCTCAACATTTTTCCTTTCCCTCACTATGGAACTTATCTCTCTTTTCTATCCATCTGGTCATTTTCACTTATTCAATACCTCTGAAATTTTCTGTTCTGTATCATATGTGATTAACATTAATTAACAGATCCAAAATATACTGTGCAGAACCTAGAGAGAAAGTGATGACATCAACACTAAGAAACCTGTCTAAAAACCAGAGTAAAATTGAACCAATGCAGCACATGCTAAATTAATGGAACTTTGGCACCATGATAGATATCAGCTAGTGATTTGGCAATAAGAACTATCATCCTTGTGTTTTTTTCCCAGTCATCAAGGAGGTTTTGGTCAAAACAATCATCATTATATGTTTTAACTATGTGGAAGCACAAATAAAATTCTTACCAGCAAACTTTGTATATAACACAAAACCCTTGCAATATAACTGATGAGGAGGACAGGTTTAGCTCTGCAGAAGAGCATGAATCACATGCTAGACTGTGCCCACGTTATGGATGAGAATGTATGACACATTTACCAGTGGCATTTATATTTCAGAAAACAGTGACTTGAAAGCAAATTTGAGCTGAACATGAGCTCAAAATGTGATAGAGAACTAAGAACACAGTGAAGTCTTATATCTAAAAGGAGAGAACTACTGAACAGAAGAGATGGTATTACCACATGATGATTTATTAGCGAAAATCTTTATTCAGTTGACCCATCTTCACAATATCAACTGCACTAAAATAACAGGAAGAGTCCAGAAAAGAATGATGAAGACTATTAGCAACCTGGAAAATCTTCCTAATTCTGCAAGTAAAGAAGTTAAAACTATTTAAGCTTTGGCAGATTAAATATATAGTAATACATTAAGCTAATGTATTACTTTGCAGAACATTATCTTTGCTGTGCTGGCTGCCCACAAGTTCTTTACCTTATGGAAAACACAAGGTTGTTTTGCCCTCGAGGAAAAGGGCGTTAGCTGTTTTGCATTCCTATGGTTAAAGGTGAACACAAGAACCTCTGCTGCAGAGTAGCTAATGTACTATCTTCTTGTTGCCTGACAGCAACTTACCCTACAGTGCCACATCCTCACTGAATTCAAAAGTAGGTTAGATATGACATGGTCAAGACACAGAAGTACAAACATGGGAAGCTGTCATATTTTTGTGGTCTATTTAAACTAACACAAACCAGCAGCTGGAGGATGAAACTGGAAATATTGAGTCTGGAAATTAAAACCTAGTTTTCTAGAGATGTTATATCTATCAGTTATGTTCTTGAGACTAAAATTGCAAATGTTTCTGAAGGCTCACATAGAAATTTTATCTTTGATAGAGGGAATACCTTAGAAACATCTTGAATCTGATTTGTCCAAGCAGTCCCATTGCACAAATAATGACATTTCCTTTTAAAAATCAATATATTTATAAGCACAGAAAGTTTCAACGTTGCTTCTATCTCCTTGACATGTGACCCCAACAGCAACCCTATTCGCAGGAGCATAAATGAATGTCCCAGAATGTCTGGACTGAAAATCAATTTATGGATTATATCTATGCTGATTTTAAAAGATCCTTTATAAATTATTATTTCTTTATAAATCACCTCTTATAAATTAGGATTTGATCATAAATAACAGCCAGTGGCAAATGGGATTAAAGTTAGGAAAGGCACACTGAAGGTTGAGCTCTTACTCTTGCATACCAACATCACGATTGATTCCATTAGCATACAGCTGAAATGTGAGCTTGTGAACATCTTGCCATCACTGAAGACACATCTATAGAGAGGTTGCCCAAGATACATGTATGTAAGATGTACACAATGCCTGTTTGAAGGTTTTTTGTGACAGTTATGTTTTTTCTGGTCAGTAACCTGCTTCTGTGCTGCTTAATAAGACATTGCACTCACCATTTCCTTCTCCTTAACAGCTTTCCTCTTGTTGATGCCTTTAGACAGTAAAAAAGGAAGAGGAAATCCATTTACTTACAGCTGAAATCCTGTCCAAAATCCCTGTTGCACCTTGAGTACTACAAAAGCCCACAGAAAAAAACACTTCTTGTTATCTGAATCCACGGAAGAGATGAGCTTCAGTGGCTGAACTGAGGTAAAATTTGCACATGATTTTTAATTTCACTGAGGAGTCTTAGGAAAGTACATCCCATCCTATTTGCCTCGGCTTTTCTTCTTTGAAGTTTAAGATTATATTTTCAGGATCATGCAGGGTCACTTTTGGGTTTGCACACACAGACATCCAAACACACATACACATGTATATTGATGCATATTAAAGGAATTGCAGAAAATTTGAGTCCAATCTGACAGGAATCATTGCTCTGTCAAAAATCTCACTGCAGGAGCCTTTAACAGCAGCACTCTCAGCTTTCCAAGTGCAGGACTTGATGTACGAGATTAATCACAAAGATTCATTTTGTTGAGGGATCAGAAACCCAAAGCTGGCTCTATAATACCTAAATCCCTTAATGCAACCAGCAGAGCCACAGTACTTCTGTCCTCTAAAGCTGGTACTTTCTATTAACTCAACATACCTGTGCATTCAGCTTTCTTTTCAGGCCAATTGCTAGAGGAAGAGTTTTGCGGTTGGAAGGAAGGAAAACTCACAGTTCTGAAAGACAGGAGATAAACCGCTGGCCCCTTCGTAGTTAATAGAACTTTTATTACTCCCTTCAGTGCAGGATTTCACCAAATCCTTTTGATTATGTAAAGTTACATTTCTGTATCCTTTTCTATACATTTATTCACATGCAAATGAAAATCAGAAACACTTCTGAACGTTGCTTTCACATGCAGATGAAAGGTTTTCCCAGAAAACAACTAACATGAAAAATTGCAGGCATCTGTGTATTGTTCTCTAATAATTTCTATGATGTAAATTCAAAGCTCCAATCTATTGACTCCTAAGGATAAGACAACTTCCCGGAAAACTTCAGATCATGCCAAGACAAAATCCTGCCTGGAACTCATCAGAACAGATACTCAAAACCTGAATATGAATTTTCTCCTTTAGCATGACTTTTATGAAAAATCAGCAAAACACATGGTAACCCTACAGCTGATTACACTTTTCCATCTCACCATGAAGGCAGGGAAAATGGAATGGAATGACTTGTGAAGAAGAGGACAATGTGAACATGATATTCCTGGACCAGTCCCTTTTCTCTGTATCACTTCAAATACATGGTGAAAGCTGACTAATCACATTAACATTTAGGGACATCATTTTGTAATAATGGCTGGGAGATATCTTTGTTCATACCATTCTGTTAAAGAAATGACCTGAATGGAAAATACACTTTGCATGAATCTCCCATTTATCAGAATAACATCATACAGTAATCAGAGTGTGTAGAAATTACAATGCAGCTTGTGGAAATACAGCACAGGCTGTAATTCTTGAAATGGTTCAAAGAAACAAACAAACAAACAAATAAATAAACAAAAAAGATCCATTAGGAAGTCTGAAGACAGAACAAATATGATCAGTTTCTTCTGCACCAAAAGAGCTACAAGAACCTCCATATGCTTTGAGATATTTGCTTTCTGTCAACCTGTTTGGCTAGTTTATGATATTGCTGAAACAATTGTGTAATAGACATCAATATATTTATAGCAAACAGATATTATCTGGCTAAAAAATGGAAATATTTATTAAAACACAAACATGAGCTACTTATGTCCTAAAAATGAATGACAGGTGATCAGATGAGATGGAAGTTGTAGCAAAATGGATATATGGTTACAAACTCTTTTACCAAAAATGGCTTTGCTGCTTCAAGGATGGTCACAAACCTTCTGTTACAAGTTGAGTGTGAGTGTATGTAAAAAGATAAGGACACTATCTACATTTACCTACTCTGATCCCAGTTGGCTGCAAAAAGCAGAAGAATCTTCCTGCCACAGTGGTCACGATTTTCCAGTACTCCTGGGAACCCATCTGTCAGAGCCCGTTTGATTCCTGGATCGTCGGCCTTGAAGTTTTTGAACATATCCAGGTTTAATTGGCGGTACTGGAAGTACTGAGCCAGCAGCCTGAAGGCCTCAGTTTGGTGAAACTTTCTGGCTCTGAGAAATCTCAAGATGAAGGCATCATCTGTACGTAAAAACCCAATGTCAGGCCTCGTGATAATCATGTCCCTGACTTGCTGGATATCCTGATGCAAAATGTCTGGGTTTTCATTCAGTTCCAGGCGGGCTTTCTCTATAGTCTCTGGACTAAGTCCAGCTTGTAAATGGGTCATCTCTGCAAAAACCTCTTTTCCAAATCCTTAGATTCAGATGCTTTAGTAGAGGTGCTGATCCCATTCAACTGATGGTCTGCTGTGAGTGTAAGCCATTCAGATGCTTTTTCCTATCAAGCTGATATTTAACAAACAAAAGCAAAGGGTTTTTCTTATTCTTGCAGAAGAGTAACAGGCAGTTCACATGTAGTATAATCCATCCAAAGGAAAGTGTTGTTTATTCCATCCCCTACTAAAAGAAAAAGAAAATATATAAAAGAAAGATTAAATACATATATAAAGCTTGCAGGAATGCATTTCTGAATTTAGATAGACATAAAATTTCTTTGTGTCCTTTATAGGTATGAGGATACTAGTCAATTTCAGAATGAGTGCATTTAAGATAAGGCAGTCACTAACATCTTGAATGCACGTATTCAGGCTTTCAGAAAAATAATATGATTTATTGACAAAAAATACTAAGCTATATCAACTTACTATTGGAATACACTGTGCAATGTTGTCTGACAGAAGTGGGAGTTGCAACATCCCATAACTTTAAGTCAGGAATGACAAAGGCAAAAATAATAGTAAGTTTTTTCCACCCCTAACAGTAACAACATTTCAGCCTCATAAGTACTCAGATTTACCCTCATCATACTAATCAGAACAACTATTTGATTTGGTTTTATCAATTGTGTTATCAGCTTGTAGCTTTCCTTGAATTAAACACTAAACTGACTGTAAAACTGATTTTTAAAAAACCCAAAATTCCACCAACACCAGGGATAATTTCTACTTTGTAGAACCTCACCGATGGTATTTCCCATTGAGACTTTATACATCTTCATTGGAAGCTCTACATGAATAAGGTATTTGATGTATCTAACAGACAGGGCTGGTGTTTTAGTTGAAAAGAGATGTGTTTTATACTAAATTTTTTTTCTAGTATATTGTAGCTTTCCTGAATACCTAGTTCTGAATTTCATTTTCATTTCTGTACTTTACCTAGTATTTGTTTTTACAGGTGCTAGAAGAAAAGCTGCTTAAGATGTTATGTATGAACAAAACGGTACAGTGCATCTCTTACATTTCAGTGACATAATTAAGCAAGAGGCTGTCATCGAAGTCTGTGTAGTTACACTAGTGTGAAAAAAGATCAAGGTCTGTCCCAATGTGATATGTGTGTGAAGAAAGATCAAGACCCATACAATTTTTCAGCCATCACAGAAACAGACAAGCAAATACCCCCCCTCCACTACTTAACCGATCTCTCTCTAATTTCTGAAAATTTGGTTTTAAAAATTAAAAGGAAATCCCTCAGTGAAAGACATACTTTTTGTATTTGAAGAAAGTTGTTTGGAAAGTTATGAATTATTTATAGCAAAACAACCATTTCACTCAGCTACTCCCCTGGGTTCAGCATTCTCAGATCAAACAAAGGGGAGAGCAGAAGCCAAAGCATTTTTTGGTCCAGGGTTTGCTCAAAGTTACATTGCAGGACCTGGAAGTCAATCAGCTCAAGGGATGCCTCAGTTCCCTGTGTTGTGACCTTGCATGTTATTGATAAAAACTACATTTTAGATGCCGCAGCTGCAGTCCCAGGACGAGATCCCAAAATTTGAATACAGAGAGTTTCTGCATATTTGCTTAAAGGACATTTGTGGTGGGAGATAAGCTTTTCATTTAACAGCAATGTGAATTGGACTTTTTTGTAGGTAACACAAAGGAGAGTTTATTAAGCATCCTCTTTCTGTATTCACTGTGGAACTGGAACTGAAAAGAGCTACCTGCAGGGCAGAGTATCTGGTGATTGATCAGCCTGGGAAAACTTCAGGAAAGGCAGAGTTGGGAGAATAGAAGGCTTTTACAAGGCACTACAGAGTGCAAATGACTCCAGAAAAAAAAGTCCTCAGGTTTTGAAGGATAATTTATGGGTGCAGGCTATTCAATTCTGAAAGAAATAAGAGCTATATTAAAGGTGGATTCCTCATATAGAAATAAAGTAACAGCTATTTGCTTTGCTCTTGCCTTTATTAGACCAAATTAGAATAACTCCTATAGTATCAAGTGAATTCCACTGATGTAAAATTGCAGTAGGCCATAGGGAAACCAAGCCAATATTTTGTGACTGAGATCTCAAATTAATGGTGACACTAGTATTTTCTTGCGTGAATCACAGTTTTCGTTACAACTTAACTAAAGTTAAGTAGTAACTTAGGGAGCTTAGGGAGCTTAGGTGTGATAATGTCATTGGGGGAGTGTGGGACAAGGATTGGTCCCTCCCTAGTTTAAACAGCAAATAGTAGAGTAAGGAAACTGTTTGTGCTAAAGGGTACTCAGCAGAAGAGTGGAAGCAAGAAGCTTATCTGGGGTCTGCATTAGCTCTGGCTCAGGGCCCAGCACTTCTGTGGCTTAGAATCTCAAAATAATGGAATCACAGAATGGTTTGGGTTAAAAAGGACCTTTGGAAACCAGCTAGTCCAACCTCCTTGTCATGAGCAGGGACATCATTCACTGAATCAGGTTGTTCAAAATCCCATTCAAGCTAGCCTTGAACACTTCCAAAGATCGAGCATTCACAATTTCTTTGGGCAACCTATTCCATAGTCTCACCACCCCATCACAAAAAAATTCTTCTTTATATTCAATGTGAATCTGTCTTTTTTTCAGTTTCAAAATGTTAGCCCTTGTCCTATTGCTACAGGCCCTACTAAAAAGTCTCTGACCATCTTTCTTATAAGCCCCTTTTAGATACTGGAAGGCTGCTGTAAGGTCTCCCTGAAGCTTTCTCTTCTTCAGGCTGAACAGCCCCAACTCTCTCAGCCTGTCTTCACAAGAGAGGTGCTCCAGCCCTCTGATAATTTTTGTGGCCCTTCTCTGGACCTGTTCTAAAATGTGCAAGGACTAGTGGTAGATAACTGTGTCACACACTCAACCCCCAATGGAATCATCCATTTTCTAGGAGTTTATGGGGAGTAAAACTGCTCTTTTTCTGACTCCCACCTCCACCAAGATACTTTCTTTGGAAATAAGGTAAATTCTTGAAAGGTCAACTGCAGTCTGCTCCAGAAAGAAAAATGAGATTTGACCAAGGGCATAAAGTCTGGCCCTTTTTATTGGATCCCCAAATATTTAATGTCAAAAAATATGCTACTTATTTTCATTAAAGTTGTCTACCATTTTTAACCAAATTAAATGCCCGGGATTATCCCAAGGTGAGGGAGATACAGTCCTTTCCTGTCAGATGTTGTTGCCAAAAAAGCAACTTACAAATACTCAGTCTAACAAAAGATATATTTTAAAATGCATTTCAGAATTTTCTGATAGTGAGCTGAGCTATAACCATGGATTACAGTTATTTATAGATTATCACGATTATCAGCTGGAACACAGTGCACTGAAATACTTTATTGGTGTGAAGTTATATATTGCAAAATAATCTAAAATATGTATGAAAAATTTTGTTTCTATTTTAATCACAACACAAATCATGAGGTTAGGAATCCACTCTCACACCATTTCCTTCAAGGAGTCTGATATACATCAGTGGATGAGTTGGTACTCCCACTACTAACCTTGACAACAAGTTTAATGCTCCATAGCTACCCAGTTTAGTTGTCACTGCACTTTCTCAAATGGTACTGATTTATTCTGATTCCCAAGGTATAACAGACCATTTTCACCCCCTCCCACCCATGGCAATTTCTCCTTATCTTCCAGTGTTGTGTGCAGCTCTCATCTGCCTGCCAATTTTTCAGATGTTTACATCTTTGTTCAGTTTGGTTCAGGGTTGGTTTATCTTCCAAATGAAGATGCTGGCTTTTTTTCCCTACCTTGAATATTGTTGCTGCATGTTGGCAGACTAGACTGTTTGTTATAGTCTCAACAGCTGTTTTTCTATCTTGTGACTCTTTGTTCCCAAAGGACTATTTGCTCTCCTAATGTCTTTTCACAGCCACTTGCAATAAATCATCCCTCCAAAGGAAAAATATCCAGCTTAAAACAACAAAAAAAAAATAATTTACAGAGATTTGAAACACAACATACTTATACCCAAAAAGGAGGGAAATTTCCACCAAAACTGTGGTGTCACATACCATTTTGGTTTACTTATTTTTGATCCCAACAAGAGAATAACAAGGGACAGAGAGTGGCTTCAGGATGGGTAGCATACTGAAAGTGGGATACAGTTTTCAGACAAACAGCTTATATTTTTGCATGATCCTCCAAGAAAAAGAAAAAAATTAGTTAATAATAAAATGTATAATAATACTATACAAACAAAAATGAAAATACTGTATTATGGAATATTTTAATATGCTTTATTGCTCTCTCTTCAATTACAGTTTCTGAGTCAGCATTCAGCTCCTATTTGCTCTACATCCCCTGGAAGATTGGCCAAAACCAGCTCTCAATAATGATGGCATTTGTCTGGATCATTTTGTTCCTGCCCACTTAGCTGTCCCTGCAATATCACTTGCTTTTTTGAGCACTTCATGTCCTTTTGGCCCTTCCCCATCCAATTCAGTTCCAGAAAGATTTTAGTTGTCTCTGTGTCTACCAAGTGTTTTCATTCAGTCCAAAGCTATATGGAGTGTGAAATTTCATTACCACAGTTTTCAAACGGAGAAGGAACTAGCGTTTGATCCTCACCTGGTATTAAGAGGCATCACTGCTAAGGTTTGGCTCATTATATAATTCCTAACTCCTAGCATTCATACAGATATTAGCTGCTAAAATCATGCCAGAGAGGAAGGGAGTGGGCAGGAAGGGAGGAAAAATGGTAATCTAGAATGATTTCATCTCAGAGAGTGGGTGTCATCTCATTAAATTGCTTTTTGAAAAATATTTTGATGTTAACTCTGGAAAACCTCTTGGGGCTATGTTCTGCTTAACAGGGGTTGCTTCATAAGGACTGGGTAGGATGAATCCACACCTGTACTTATAGGAATGGTTCCTATGGCACTTTGTGGCCTTGGGTTACCTTAGTAGGAACCTGCTCTGGAAATGGAGTGGTCAGACATAGAAGGGGAACTACTACAGCTCCATGAACTACTTGCAAAAGAGCAATGGTGTCCTCGATGGCAAGATCATAACATCTTCCACAGACTGTGGGGAGAAGCACAGCCTTGACTGATTTGCCTGAGATCATGGAGGACACATTTCACATAGCTGGGAACAGATCATATGTCCTCTGAGCCACAAGCTTATGCATTAACACCTGGGCAATCTTTCCTCTCTATGCATAATGCTCTGCATCATAAGAAAAACATGAAGCTGTGTTGCACACTGGGAAATGGAGAGGTAGACTGCAATGTTTCCAATGTCCCCAGTGTAATCATCTTAGGCTTTGAAGGCACAATCAGGACTCCCAAAGTATACCATTTCTCTAGATTTTGCAAAGAGCAACCTCCCTATGGGGCTTTCCAACAGGACTATCTCATATCCCAAATTCAATAGCCTGGCTGCTGCTCACATTATTATAGAATCACAGAAAAGCTGACATTGGAAAGAACTAGAGTGCATCTGGTCCAACTCCCTGCTCAAACAGGGCCTCCTAGAGCTGGTTCCCCAGGACTCTGTCCAGACAGTTTTTGAGTATTTCCAAGGAGAGAGATTCCACAGCCTTCCTGGGTGATCTGTGCCAGTGCTGTCACTCTCACAGTAAAAAAGTGTTTCCTGAAGTTCACGGTGAACCTCCCATGTTTCAGTTTGTGCCCATTGCCTCTGGACCTGCACTGGACAACACTGAAAGGAGTCTGGTTTCATCCTCCTTGCATCTTCAGGTGTTTGTACACACTAATGAGATCCCCCTGGCCCTGTTCTTCTCCAGTCACAGCTCTGTCAGCCTTTCTTCATGTGAGCAACACTCCAGTCCCTTCATCATCCTCGTAAATCTTTGTCAGATTTTATCCCATATGTCCATGTCTCTCTTGTACTGAGGAGCCCAGAATGGGATACAATACTGCAGGTATGACCTCTCCACCACTTCTCTTTAGCCCTTCCTTAGGGGGATAGATCCTCTCAGTAAACATAAATGAGTTAAATATTGCAAGTCTTTCTTCTCCAAGTACTGATGCTCCTGTAAACCTTCACTAGGGAACTGTTGCTCCTCCTCAATATGAAAATAGTGAATGTTTGTGACTGTAATGGCTGCGTGGGGAATTTGATGGTTTCTCACACTTTCCCAGGATAGAACGTCCCAGCTCAGTGACAAAAAACTAACATTTCCTTTAGTTCAGTAAAAACAACACATTGCGCATTCTTATTCCCCTCTTACTACAATCTTCTTGTTAGTTTGAGTCAGTTACAGGTTACCCTCGGGCCAAATTTAAATGTCCAGAGCTAGTAATTTAACCATGGCACAGCACAAAACCTGATAGCAACTCAACCGATGTTTGCTGCTCTCTGCACAGTATGTAGGGCAGGCACACCTGCAACTGCAACCAACCTACGGTTGTCCTGCTGTTCCCACAAGCTGCCAGGCATGAGGAGAGACTGACATTGAGGTTGTCTAACAGACATAAAATAAAAAAATTGCATCATTGTCTTTTGACCTAAAATGTGCAAAACTTATTGCCTACCTGAATATTAAGGAAGAGGACTACATGCCAAGGAGTGGAACTTAACTCATAAATAAAAAAGTTAAACAAAATACCTGTGAACTTAATGAGATTGGTTCAACTTTTCTCGAAGTCATAATTTTTAAGTATTCACCAATCACAGATATACTGCAAATCCCTATGGGAACATGAGGACCTGTGGCATGCCACAGAAACAGCAGTCTATGAGTGACTTCCATGACAGTCATGAACTACTGCAAGCACCTCCACGAAAAAAGCATCCTGGCCACTATGGAACAGAGGTCACTTCTCCAATAATATAGAAACTTCTTGCAGCATAAATTATCAGCAATATGCAAAACATGAATTCTGACCCCCAAGCCTCATAATTAAACTATATGTAGAAATCTGACAGCATGCAATCATAATACTGGTGTCCGATATCCCTAAATGTGGTAGAAATTGTGTTACAACATTTGCAAAAAGATATATAGGAGAAGAAACAAAACATACTAACATGTTTGGTATAACATCTTTAATAACATGAACTTTATTTAATTTTGCAGTTCTTTTGCTTCATGTTTTGAAAAATTAAGTTCCTTTAAAAAATATGAAATACGATGGTGGTCTTTGAGTGTTAACTTTGTTCTGCTTTATATATTATGCCAAAGAAAGGCATCTGTGGCATTCCATGGAGTGGCAGTGGGAGAAGGAAGGGAAGGAGAGACAGTCAGGGGCAGAAGGGAAGTAAGGAAGGCAGGAGAAAAGGAGAGAAGCAAGGAATGAAAGGAAAGGAGGGAAGCAAGAAGGGAGGAAGGGTAGAAAGAAAGAGGGAGAAATTCTGCACTCAGGAATTCATGCAGTTCTCCTGTTTGTTTTTTTTTCTCTCATTCCTGTTGAAATATGATCGCAAAACAAAGTTCTGCACACAGGTACTTCTCCCAAAGTTGTAGAAATAAAGTTAAATATAATTTGATAATACCTTGTGGGTTTGGTTTCTCAGTGGAGGAACATATAAGAAAAAAGGAGTTTATTTCTATAAATACTATTGAAGGAAAAAACCCGAACTAAACAAACCAAAACCACACTAAACTGTTTGGAAATTCTCAAAGTAAATCCACAGAGCAGCATTATATCATGAGGGAAAGGAATTATAACTCATGCAAAAACCACGTGAACTTCAGCTCAGTGAATTTCCCACTCTATAAAAGACTAATGTTGTTTCTTTTTTGTTTGTTTTATTAGTTTGTTTTAACTAGTAGGACCCAATTGTCATATCTTGTTTGTGTTTGTGCCAGAGACACACTACAGTACCGGACTGTGAGACAAAATAAAACTCACTTGCCAAGCAACAGCACAATTGCTTCAGTAATTGCACAGTTCAGTTAACAATTGCGTGAGTTTATAGTCTTAGTTTGAAGGAAATATTCCCCATCCTTTTATGAGGCCTATCATTTGTATTACAGCTGACATGGTCCTCTGTTGGAAGATGAGGAGGCTGCTGTTAAATGTTTCAGTGAAATGACCTCTGTGTTCAAAGCATACAGAGTTGAACTGCTTTGACCCAGTGCGATGGGGTGCATTCTGCATTTCCTCTGTTGCTAAACTCAATTACACTGCTTACACTACTACTCAGCAGCACTCAGTGCTACTCACAGTATCTGGTCTCTGCGGCAGCTTTCAAGTTATATATGATGATTAAATAAATCAAGAAGGTTTTTGGAATAAGTTGCAATATCTTTCACTGTTTTGCATATGCCTTACAAAAGTCTAATTTTTAGAAAATACTCAATAGCTTTTAGACCTGGATGAGTCAACAAAATTCTTTAAATAATTGGCATCATTTTATAACAGATATATGACAACACAAGCTGCCCCTGTAAACTTCAAGCTGGGATACGGACTGCATACGAGGAAAAGCTCTATAGGTTATCTGACTTATTATTATATGAAAAAGTAAACCAGTACCTTCCCTATGCAGTGCATGGCATAATACTGTTACATAATATGTCATGTAGATGTTGGCTTTGTATTAACTTTTAGTACTGGAGAAAATCCGTGTTATCATCTGATTACTCAGAAAGCACATGAAAGCAGCCTTTCTGTAATTTAATTTTTCCTTCCAAATAGGATCCAGTCACTGTTTAGTGATGGACAAGGAGTAGCCATCTGCTCCTTAACTTCATTATTCCCAGAGCTTGTTAAAACTGAGGAATCAGCATTTTGAAAAGGGGAAGCTCTCTTTCTCCTATGACCTTCCTCACCCTCCCAGGATTAAACCACTGCAAACAGAATTAAAGTCAGGCCAGTAGCACACATGGGGTTTCTCCAGCTGTTATTTGCTCTGCATTTATTTTTATGCATGAAGCCCTGTCTGAACATCCTCACTTCTTGCAGAGACCACAGCTTAATTCTTTACTTCCTGCAGCAAAGGATCCACAGGCTAGCTGTGATTTACCTCACTTCTTTCCTGCACCCATTCATCACTGTTTGCCATTGGGAAGGCAATACACTTGACTGACCTAGCACATTCCCCCCTCTCTTTAATCCCTCTTCCCTCTTTGGGTTGAGTACACCTAGTCAAAACAGGCATCAATTTGCTAAGGAGCAAACAGGTACCTGCTGCTGTTTGGTAAACTTCTGTATGTCAACACTTGGCTAGAGTCCTTACTTCAGTAACTTAAATTCCAGTTTTAAACCTTTCCTCTACATCCCTCTCACCTCTCTCCTGCTCTCAAATTAGATCTGGACTTTCCCTTCCAAGTTGCATTCCCTTTCTTCCCCAGCTTCTGGGTTGCTGAGCTGCTTTTTTCAGTGCCATGTCCCCTTTCAGGAAGGACTGGGGCTGGTGATGGAGAAGGAAGACAGGAGGGAAAGAAAGGGCAGGAAAGTGAGGAATGTGGGGAAATGGGCAGGGAAGAAAGGAGACAAGGGAGCAGGGCAGGGAGGAGAGTAGAGAGGGAAGGCAGAAAACAGGAAGGCAGGAATAAGAGAATCAGAGAAGCAGGGCAAGGAGGACTGGAGGCAGAAGAGCCAGGATAGATAGGGGGCTGGAAGCAGGAAACAGGGTAGGGAGGCAAGGGAGGCAGGGGAAGCAGAGGAGGAAGGGGGAGTTAAGGGAAGTAGAGCAGGCAGGGCAAAGAAGAGAGGCAGGGAGAAGGGGAAGGAGGCACGGAGGCAGAGAGCAGAGGGAGGCAGAGAGCAGAGAGGTAGGACAGGCAGGAGAGGCAGCCAGGGGAGGCAGGAAACAGGGTAAGGAGGTAAAGAGGGAGCAGGCCAGCTAAGATTCAGAGGAGGCAGGGAACAGGGCCGGAAGGGAGCAGGGAGTCAGGGCAGGCATAAGGTAAGCAGTGGAGGCAGGGGATACAGAGACAGGGAAGGCAGCGAACAGGGGAAAAAGGTAGGCAGGGCAAACAGATCAGGCAGAAGGCAAGGAAACAGAGGCAGGAGAGATAGGTTGGGAGGCAGGAGGTAGGTCAGACAGGGAGCAGGGCAGGCAGGAGGCAGCAGGCAGAGAGTAGGGTGGGGAGGAGGCAGGGAGCAGGGCAGGCAGAAGGGAGCAGGAGAGGCTGGGCAGGCAGGACGCAGCCGGCAGGAGGCAGGGAGCAGGGCAGGCAGGAGGGAGCCGGGCAGGCAGGAGGCCGGGAAGGGAGCGGCCCCTGCCCGCCGCCGGAGCTGTCCGCCCAGCGGTGCTGAATCGCCGCACCCCGGGCCCGGAGGGTCGGGGGGTGCCGGGAGCGCGGAGAGCCGCCCTGCGCAACCCCAGAGAAGGCAAATCCAAATACCTGCACAGCGCCGGCAGCTGCCGTGGGGCGGCGGGGGGCTGCGTGGGGTGGGTTTTTCCCCCTGTAGATGTCCTTGCTGCTGAGACGGGTGGGCGAGAAAGATCTCCCGGCTCCCGGGTTCCGGCTCAGATCTCTCTAGAAAACTGAATGAGCGAGCGCCAGCTCCACGGGGCCGTGATTTTTTTTTTTTTTTTTTTTTTTTTTTTTTTTTTTTTGGTAGGAGGCGTGTGCGCCAAAGCTTGGGTCCTTCCACTGCCGTCCCCCTGGGTCCTAAGCCCTCCTGCCGCCCGCCCGACTGCCTCCCGGCTCTCCCGGTGCCCCCGGGATGCGGGCTAGGTGCTCCGTGCCGCCGCGGGAGGGGTGCGAAGGGGCTGCTGCCGACCGTGAGGGCTTAGCACTGCAGGCTTCTACCCAGCGGCGTGTGCTTTACTGCCTATTTTCTAGCATCACCCCTTTCCCAGCGAAGGTCGGGCAGAGCACAGCCTCCTGCGGCATTTACAGCAGCCATGGAAAGAGTGATCTTAATGGACCATGTATTATCGATGGGCTGCTTTAATGAACATGGCAGCCTGGGTTTATAAGAGAAGTTTCGCCTGGGTCAGACTGCAGGGACATCTAGCTCAGCGTGCTGTCACCAACAGCACATGTCTGGTCAAGAATGTAAAAATAGGGTAACCTTCACCACTGCACTCTCTCAGCCCCTCTCCCAAGTACTTCAAGTTCAGGAATTTTCCCAGCAATGTGGTACCTGTGTTTTTCAAATGAATTTGTACTCCTTGAGAACAATGTCTCCTAGAATACTCTCAAATTTCTAGAACATCCTTCCATAATGTCCTTTGACTAGGCCATCTACCTATTTCACAAACTATCACCTGTCTTTCATTATAGGGATCTATAAGTTTTTGATAGTGGTGTAGAAAGGACAGAAGAAGGGAATTGCTCTTATTAAATTAGGTCCTGAAAATCACTTTCTGTACAAGCCTCATAAGACCTGTATTAAACTGTACTTGGAAGACTTTGGGTGACGTAATGACCTTGGCAACCAAATTCACACCCATCTGCTTTTATAAACACACTAAGCCCAACTAAATGTGTGCTTCTTCTTTTATTACCCCTGTACATTGTGGAGTAAAATTCCTGTGAAGTGGTGGATTTTAGTCAGCTGATTATCCTGATCTATTTGCTTTGGGCATCTCTCTTGAGTCAGTGACTGAAGGATCTTATATAGCAAAGAACTAGGTGATTAATGATAAAGATAAGGAACAACTTCTACATAAGGAATGGCTAAACAGAGTAGGACTCTTTGGCATGGGAAAAAAAAAGGTAAGTGTAGATAAAACAGTGATGGGGGAGTTGTCATTCATAACATTTCATAATAATGAGCAGCATAAGGAAGATAAATTGGAACAATATCTCAGTATTATTTCCAGTTTTAGGAGTAAGAGAAATGAAATCCACTAGGGCCTAGCTTTGATTCAAACAAAAGGACATAATTCTTCACAAAATATTTAGTGAAGCTGTAGAAGTCATTTCCACAGGAATTCACGCTTCAGAAAATTGTAGGACATATTTATGGAAGAAAAAAACATTAAAGGCTTTCAAACATGAAGTCATGACCTCTGGCTCGGGAAGTTCCTGTTACACGAATTGCTGAAGGCTGGGTTATATTTGGGAAAGAATGATTACACCCCTGCCCTGCTCTTATTCTTTACCTTGGCCATCCACTACTGATCACTGCTGGAGATAGGCACTGGGCTCGATGGACCTTTGCTCTAACCCAGTACCAACTTCTCTTATATACAAAGTAGACTTTGAGAATGTGAACACAACAGAATCCATTTTGGTTTTGCTTTGCCTTGAAAGGGGAATATTCAGTGGTTTCGTTCTACTTCAAAGAGTTTACATCCAGACAGAGTCACTTGCTTTTTAGAGGAAACACCCCAATATTAATGTGCAAAGGCAAAAGGAATCTGTGGGGAGGATGACTTGTGCTTTTAGAATGATTTCCATGCTCAACCATTAATTTAACCCACAGCATGTTTGAAAAAGGTATATGAGGTATTTGTATCTTGTGACCCAACCACATTGACTGGAAGACAAGAAGTAGCATCTCAAAGCAGAGAGCGCAAAACCCTCACAAGAGCATTTGTCCCACCACTTGATATAAAAGTATTTCTAGCCCTGGGGAAGTTAATAGTCAGTTATTGAGTAGTCTCATTAGATCATTATTTTCTGCATAGAGATCAGTTTGGAGATAAAAGAACAAGCACTGTGTTTTCATAATCCTCTTGCAAGCTTCCACTCTTGCACATATGATAAAGATTAATGTACTAGCTACTGTAACTATGCAGTACTTCCCTGGGAATTGTTAATAATATTAAGTAGAATGAACACAACTCTATAAACCAACTGCCTTAGGCAGTTAAATGAGTTGCCAAATTTGATGTATGCTTAATATTTGGGGATTTAATATTTTTATTTGGTTCAATTGGCATATTTTTTTCTTCTGTAATGTTGCTGTTAAGTCACCACTGCTTGCTGATCCACTGGATGATCGACGTGTTGCACAGTCCTGTGGTAGAAATATTTCTCTAAACATGTTACAGCAGGGCCTTATATCGATCCCACTGCAAATATTCTCATGTTACTTTCTCATTACCACTTTATCACTTCTTCATCCCTTCCTTTCTGCAAAGTCTACTCTGTACTCTGAGAGCACACTTCAAGTGATCTCATTCTGTGCATTGTCCCAGTCATTACACTTCAACTGAAGTTATGACCTCAGAAACAAGAGTGTTGAAGATATAAACTTTGAGTTTCATAAAAGTATGCCTGGGACATTAGAATCTCCCTTGGTGATGTGCACAGACTGGAGCTTCATCCCTTTCTCATTTGCAGTGTTGAATACACAGAGCTAAGGGGAGAAAAATGTGCCTGTAATCACAATTTGTTACAGAAGGCATTACAATTGACTGAAAACATGGAGGGAACAGATCAGTTTGGAAGAGGAGGATATTTTATACAGCCTTTTCTGAAACCAAACCAGAACTTTAATATAAAATTTATTCTAACCTGACCTTCCCTGTTGTCACACGTATTGTTTCTCTATTTTAACAAAGAGCAAAGAGATCACAAAGATCACAAACTTGGAAAGAGAATGTGTATTTTCACGACCAGCAGAAGGTATCCATGTACCTGAACTATCAAGGAAGTCACGGAAGGTCAGAGTGGCTGGTTGCTCCATAGTCTAGGTATGATAAATAGTTTCTACTCTCTTTGCAGCAAAATATTTTGTCTTCACTCAGTGAAATGCACAGCCTCTTGCAGTATTTTTGACTGTCAAGAAGTGCTGTGAAGCTAGGGGCTAGTTTGAACATTTTTGCATCTCTGGTATTGTTGTCTCATTCGTACAAAGCCCAAAACCACCAAAATATTTTAATTCATCACAGTCAGGAATGGATTTTTTTTAATACCAGAAAAACCATTCTAAATAAGTGGAAAATTGCTCTCCCTCTGCCTTAAGACTGAAACAGAGATATATATCTACATAACGTACAAATATATTGATCTTCAGTATTTTATAGGGTTAGGGTATGTGAATGCCGTGCATATATACTCCTTGAGCAGAAAGGCTGGACCAGATGACCCCACCAGTCATTTCTTCTAACCTTATTCATTCTGTGGTTCTGTTATATAAGGAGAGGGACAGATCTTTGATGCAATTCAGTATATACTTAGTGTCATTAAATTTCCAAGTGTGATTTCTTCAAAATATAAAGTGTTCTTTACAGCTTGTGAACAGGGAATTTTAGAAATAATATAGTATAGGATGTTCTTGTATCTTTAAATTTTCTTTTGTGAACAATTTGCTGCAAGTTTCTAAAATTAACAGTCAATTTTAATAATTAATTAGGAGCTCAATCTTTTTCTCTAATCTACAATTACCATCTGGTTTTATTTCCTTTGAAAGTAACTCCATTGAAAGCCCCAGTAGACTAAAAAATAATAATTCTAAAACAGCTTAGACCCAATAAATCATTATTCTTAAGGGAGAAGTAAGTCTTAGATCACAGTTCAGAGAGATTCATGTTATAAATCCTCCCAGGTTTCCTGAACCTTTAAAATATTTAAAAATTTATACCAAAGAATGCAAAACGTATGCAAATTGATTGTTCGTATGACTTATTTAATGAGAAAGGTCCAGTTTTGCCATTTTTGCTCTTGATGTAGAGAATTCATTCTTTTGCTGAGTTCACATACAATGACCACTTATGCCACTCTCAGAATAACGTGTAACTGGGACACAAGGAGAATTTTGGCCTCAAGCATGTAGGTGGGTGAAGTTGAAATGTTCCATTTCCATGGGAATTCCAGGAGCTGGAGAGGAGATCCAGCATACAGCTGGAGGTCAGCAGCAGAATTCGGGTAAAGGCAAACTCTCAGAACTGAGATCCACAGTTTTCCCCCTCAGCTCCTACTTAACTCTGAAATGGTCTAATTCCCATAGCTAGGTTATTCTGGGATTGTGGAGCTCGTGCAGACCCAGGCTGAGTATCTTGGTTCCAATGATCAATCAACTTTCAAAAACTACAAGTGAATACGAGTCAACAGTGCCCTGGCAGCCAGGAGGGCCAACCGTGTCCTGGGGGGCATCAGGCAAAGCATCGCAGCCAGTCAGGGGAGGGGACTGTCCTGCTGTGCTCTGCACTGGTACGGCCTCACCTTGCATACTGTGGCAGTTTTGGGCACTGCAATATAAGAAAGATATTAAGCTATTAAAGAGTGTCCAAAGGAGGGCTACAAGGATGGTGAAGGGCTTTGAGGGGAAGCCGTATGAGGAGCGAATGAGGTCATTTGGTCTGCTCAGCCAGGAGAAGAGGAGACTAAGGGGAAACCTCATCTCAGTCTACAACTTCCTCATGAGGGGAAGAGGGGCAAGACACCGATCTCTTCTCTGTGTTGACCAGTGACAGGACCCAACGGAATGTCCTGAAGTTGTGTGAGGAGAGGTTTAGGTTGGATATTAGAAAAAGGTTCTTCACTCCAAGGGTGGTTGGGCACTGGAACAGGTTCCCCAGGGAAGTGGTCACAGCACGAAGCCTGGCAGAGTTCAAGAAGCATTCAAGAAGCATCTCTCTGACATGTGCATGTTGGAAATGTTGACTTTAGGCTC